CCCCCCCCCCCGTGCCCCCTGCGCGCCCCCTGCCACATGGCATGGGTGCAGCGTGTCTCAGAAGGATGCCGCGCACTGTCAGGGAGGTGGGGCTGCTGGGGTGGAGCACTACCAGGCTCCAGCTGGATGCTGGAGTTGCCCCAGCTCCCAGACAGTGCGCGGTGCCCTGCTGAGCTGTGCTGCACCTGCGCGATGCGACAGCTGCCACGCAGGTGCCAGGCAGGGGGGAAGTGATCCCTGCTGCTCCCCACTGCCCCATGTTGCGCAGAGGGACTCTCTCATGAGCCCTCACAGGCCCCAATCACTGCTGCCAGAGCCGGTGAGTGCGGAGCTTTTTTTAAATTTTTTTTTTTTAAGTGTCGGGAGGCTTTGCCGGGCGGGGGATGGAGCCAGGCAGGGCAGCCATGGGGGCTTCTCCTGTGGCTCCTCTAGCTGTGCCTGCCTGCCCCAGTGTGGGGAGCTGCAGGCCCTCTGTCTTGCTGCTGCTTTCCCAGCCGGCGTGAAGGGGCACAACGTAGGTGTGTCTCACTCCCGGCAGTAGCAGGGCATAGCCCCCGCTCCCAGCACTGCCGCACCCACATCAGCACTGTCACTGCTTGCCAGCTGGTGCAGAAGACACAGGATGTGGGTGGCAGAGCCCCATCTCCCAGTGCTGCCATACCTGCATTCCGCACCCCCTTGCCCCCCTCTTCGAGGAGCATGCCCCCCCGCCCCAGCTGGGCAGCTTGTCCCAGCCCCAATCCCTTACTTCCCCATTCCCCTTCTCTCCCCCCTCCCCTAACCCCAACAGACTTACCAGTTGGAGGCAGCTGTTAGTCTATGGCCGAATTTCCGAATCAGCCGAATCTTTTCCAAAATTTTTGCTTCAAATCGATTTGGAGCTTTTACTTGGTTTCCTGATTCGATTCAGATTTGGAGATTCAGTCCCCGAATTGGGCTGAATCCTCTCCAAACTGAGTCAGCTACCAAAGCTTTGCACAGCCCTACTAACTGGCACTATGACTCATAGTGTTGTGCTTATTACCCGGCCCAGCTTCATGGTTTCTGGGTCAAAAAGTAGAGCGCAGAAGTAATGCTGGGCAGTGGTAAGTTTGGGGTCTAGTTATTTTCCCATAATATAGGCATCTCAAAGTCTAACTCTTCCAACAGACTATTTGCAGAGCATCTAAGACAATAAATTATGCCAATCATATCAATTTGATGTAGAAAATAGTTTCAAAAGAAAAGTATAGTAGGGAGTTAACAAAAGGACATACAGTTGTTTCCCTGTCAATAATCCAATAAATTACTCACGCAGGTGGACTGTCTCCACAATATTTCCCAATTCTTTTAGCATCGTTGATTTCCCCACCATTAAACACTGCCACAAAGTCATATCTGCAGTAATTATCTCTCTCCACATCAAACTTCTCAAATTTTAACTCTATCACCTGCAGAAAAAGCATAAGTATCTAATCAAAGTTGTATGTAGGTTTATTAGTGTTTAATATGCTAAGTAACATCATTTCATAATTAAGGATTATTTCATTCATTTTGCCTTCAGTAAAGGAAAATTCCTTAATCACTTAACTGTTTGCTTGAATAAGAAGAGATCTTCAAAATATAGCTTAAATTTATTTTGTAGACAAAAACATGCAATTAAATGAAATATATTGGTGATGTGTTTATGAAAGTATTTTCAAATAATGATCTTACTTGATGTATAGTCTGTAAGAGATTGGATAAAAAATTAACATCCAATGTTTGGGTCTTGCACTTGTCATACATGCCTCCAAAGTAAACACAACTTCAAGCTGGGACTATATTTCAAATAACAGGATCAAAAATTTTCAGTCATTTACTTGCATGCTTATATGCTTAAAAGAAAAAGTAAGGAGGTCCAATTCAGCTCAAAGTCAACAGTCTTTTTCCACTGCTTTCAGCAGAATTTAAAAATGACCAGCAATTAATAACTGCAACTGCTGTGAGCTTCTAAGATAATGAAAATAGAGAATGGGAACAACAAAAATGTTATTGTTAAAAAAAATGATTAAACAGTAAGAAAACAGGACTTGACAAGAAGGGAAAAGGTCAATGTAAAATAATATAAGGCATTATTTGCCAGTAAAAACTGTTTACTTTAGAATCTGGTCACTATAAGCCTTTGGAATTGAAATGGAGATAGAAAAGCAAACACTTACAAAGTTTTTAAAAAGTTATACATTATAATGATAAATATAAGACAGTATTTGGTTCTTAAATTTAATTTTAACAGTCCTCCAGTTTTTTCTATGTACCTGAATTTTAGAGGATGGGATATTCAGATTCAAGTTGATCATACAAACCCATCTTTTTTCAAACAGTACCAAATCAGACCAGTGTGCCAAATCTCTAACATTTTATGATTGAATGCACACATTATCAGTAGAATACTTTTGTTTCCTTTCATGGGTGCGTGTCTCCACCTAAGGGACCATTAACTTTCTCCTTTTTGAAGCTGGAAGCCAAAATGGGGAATATGTAGGGTTAGTAGGAAACAAACAAGCTGAAAGGTATGTGGCTTAGTGAGATGGATGCTGCACTGGTAGGGAGCAGACCCTAGTTCCCAATGGGGTAGAAACTTCCCTACTGTGTTTAACCCAATGAATATTAAATGTGTGGTGATGTTTCAAGAGAAGGGCTGGAAAAGGAACTGGATAATCTCTAATTTGGTGCCTAGTAGTTATGGCACTGTGCTGGGAACTCAGAGGGCCAGGTTTCCTGATTCCTGGATAAGTGCCCTAACCACTCAGATATTGGGGCTAAAATGTGGGAGGGTCTTCCTCCTGGTTTTTCCCAAAACTTATGCTGAAGTGTATGCATATGAAGTCATGTGCCTGCCCAGCCAGAGCACAACCTACTGAGCATTCATAGTTTGGTAGGACCAGGTTTTCTTACTATTTAATCTTTTTTTTTTCTAACAGTAACATTTTTGTTGTTCCTATGGATACACTAGAAATAGCTGATTCACTTCATTTGGTGACATTTGTGCAAAAATGTGCACCAGCACAACAGATCAACTTCACTAGGCAAAACATACATCACTCACTGTCCTGCCCATTGATCTTGTGGGACAACAGGCGACATGTTTCCACTGCCAGAGACATTCCCCCAGCAATCTCCAGGGTGTATCTGTGGAAGTGGGGAAAGCCGGTGTTCCCCACATCCAGGGGCCCATCACAGAAATTCCTGGAGGTGTCTCTCTGAAGTGGGGAAAGCTGGGCAGGTGCTCCCAAGGATTGAGGGACCTGATCCTGCATAGCAATTCCTGGGATGCACAGGACCCAGCCCCTCAAGCCTAGAGGGTGCCTGCCTGGGATGCAGGCAGCTCTGGGTTGCCCATACTCTCCCACCATAAGGCAAATAGACATCTGTTGCAATAAAGTGGCACAAATTATTAGCACCTTTTATTGGGACCACATTTATTGTCTGTGGGCATCTATTTACTTTTGCTACTGGTGGCAAAAAGACAACAAAGGACTACGCCTGTTTCCACTCTTACACATCCACTCTGCATGCAGAACAAGATCACAAACTATGATTAAGCACTAAAAATAGCAGCTACATGGCTGGAAAACTGCCATTTGGGCATGTATAGTGAAACAGGATTCTGCCCCTTAATGTTTAAACCAAAATAAAAATAAAAACTTGAATCAACAGTCTGCTCAAGAGCTCCTGAGTAACTCAAAAGCTCTGCTGTTCTGACAGAATTATTATTACAGAGCAGAGGCTTAAAACCATTTATGAACAGCAGATCTCAAAAGTACAAAAGATAACTATTACATTTTTCAGGCTAACAGTCCTGTCCCAAATCTTCACTACAGGCTTGATAAAAGTTTTCAGGCATGCATGAAGATATGTAGGAAGAACCAATGTAATTTGCCATTTACATTCCCATTGTTAATAATCACTGCCTGTCCACAGGATTGTGAAATGACTTGTGTATTGATAAATGCAGGAAACACTAAGCTCCATCTTAAAATCCAGAAAAACATCTTGATAAATGGAAATGAATTAAAGATCTAAAGAATACATTTATCTGGGAAAGCCTTTTCATCTGAAGGATTACAGGCATGAGCAGGGGATTTAAGAGGAAAGTCAGAGTGCCACATAAAAAGAATTTAGAAAGCTGAACATAGTTATGAAAAGCAACGTACCAAACCTGCTTGAAGATAAAGGTATTCAATCATTGTGTACTTCCTGCCATGATACAGTTTCTGGAGCAGAAACCTGGGCAACAACAAAAAGATGAAGCTAAACTGAGACCCACCCAACAGAACAAGACATGATGTGTTCCATGAGTAGCATCGGGTGACAGAGACAAATCCCAAATCAGTCAAAAGCAGCTTGGGTCCTAATAAAGCCACTAATACAGTGGCAAGGCATACAATGAGGGCAGCGCATGGATTTTTCCAAGCACATGATGGAAACTTCAGACTATTAAATCATACGCTGTTTGAAATTTATGGTGGAAACTCCTAAGTATGACGAATTCCAGTGCATATTACATGCAGACAAGCAGGGTAATTATTAAAATGATGTCTGTGCTTTTTAATGGACATTTAAAAATTCTGCATGGATGTTTTGATAAAGAATATACCACAGACCCTACACATTTGGTCAAACTTCAAGATGGTGTTCTTCTTAAACAGATCACTTGTACTAAAAACTTTGATCTAAATACCATTAGATATCTGTTCATTAACAAAAATACCCTTCCAAAACCACTTCTAAAAGTCTGACTGGGTGCCCAAAAGTTATAGAAAGTATCATATGGGGAAATAACATTCTGAGTTAGAGGAAGTACACAATAAGAAATGGAAAAGGCTGAAAATAATGTCAGAAGAACAGAACAGTGAAACATGCAGGAAAACTGTACAACACATGAAGAAAAAGTGCATATGAATGGAAATGCACTCTCTCAAAACACATGAATATTTCCAGGTAATTTGGTATCTTTGAATGTAACTCACCTGATTCTTTGGGGCTACAATATGCCAAGAGCAAGTCACTCCTGCTGGATAATCTCGATCAGGCCAGTTGGGAGTTTGAAAAGACCCAGAAGACTTGTCTAGTCGTCCCCCACAGTACTGGTCCCCTAATAATATAAAACAGACCAACAGCACAGGGAAGGTATGTAACACATTTTATACAACTGTTTTCCTAGGGCCAAGTCCCAGCTCTTATGTATATCCCTAGTAACCAAACTTTTATGTGAAGGGGTTCTCTGCTAGGACCCAGAGAATACTCACAGCTCTTGGTTATCCCTGTGTGTGTGTTAAGCAAAAGGTTCTCCTGAGGCAGTGAGCATCAGAAGAGCACTCAGTGGGTGTCTACATGTGTATTTACACACACCTAAACTTAATGCACCTTTGTTTAAGGCATATTAAGGTGATTTAGGCATGAGTTTACAAGTGGACGTACTGATGCACATTAAGGCGCATTAAATTTAGGCACAAATAGCTAAGCGGCATTATCACACATGCAGACGCGTTAATGTACATTAACACAGTGTCTATCCATTGGTGCACATTGTGTTAATACACATTAGTGCGTCTACACATGCTACACATGCTAATGCCACTTAGCTATTCACACCTATATTTGATACTTGCTTTACGCAGGTATCAAATTTAGGCTCACATAACCTTAAATCACCATTTTTAAGGTGCATTAAGGGTGCACACATGTAGACACGCGCTCTTAATGCGTCTTAAAAAATGGTGATTTTAGGTTAAGCCTACTTAAGAGACACATGTAGATGCACCCAGTGACAGCTCTTTCAGAAGCCTCTGGAGTTGTGGTCATGATGCATACCCTGATGCTTTCTCTCCTAGACAAGGGAGTTTGGATAGCAAAAGGCTACTTCATGCTTCATCAGAGTAACACATCATAAGGTGAAAGGGGTTTTAGAGACCACTTCTGTAGTCTTCCTATCTTATTTAGCATAATCCTGCTAGTTCCATCGTATTTAGGGCTTTCTGTCAATGGAGCAAGTCTTTGCAAATGATTGATTTGGAAACCATTAATCCCTAGCCTGTCTTGTCTATCTACTTTGGAGAGACTACATATCCTACACTGTCATTTTTCTGCAAACTTCATGTTAGTATTAGATGAATAGGTTTGATTTCTTGTTTTCTCCCTCAGTCTAGTTTTCATGTGTAGTCTAAGAATATATTTTCTTGGTAAACAGAGACGGAAGAAGAGCTAAGGAACTCTTCATGAATGGCACGTGCCCCCAGCAGCTGAGTGGGGCACGATTGTGCTGGTGGCGGCAGGAGCGCAGCACCAGGACCATGGCAGAGGTGAGCAGGGAGCTCCCGCAGATGCTGCTGGCAATGTCAGCGGCGGGGGTGGGGAGCAGCAACCACCCTCAGGCGCCGCCAGCAGCAGCGGTCAGCGGGGATTGCTGACCACCTGCAGACGCTGCTGACGGTGTCAGTGGTGGGGTGGTGAGTGGCGACCACCCAAAGGCGCCACCCCTTTTTGCAGGGAGTGCACAGGAACCTATCTTAAAAAAACTGGGTTTTTGTTTTTGTCACTCTAGGTATACAGCTCTACAAACAACAACACAAAGCAAAAGGATTTCTGCTTCCTGCTAACTGTCTGTGTGCATGATAAATGGAAACAAAATTGCAACCATTTAGCCTTCAATGGGTTAAAAAAGAAATCAAATTACAGCAGGTTAAAAAAGGAATAGGGACTTATATGGGAGCTACTGGTGTATTATAACACCCTATGCCCCTACACCCTTCTACTCCAGGACAAATAGGGTTATTTTGTTTTATTTTTTGTTTTGTTTTTGTGGTGTTGGGTTGTTGTTTTGTTTGGGTTTTTTTTGGGGGGGGGGCGGGAATGTACAGGGATTTTATCTAAACTGACACTTTCTAGAAGCCTTTTTTCTTAGAAACATTTTCCCCCTATTTTCACTCAGACCTTAGTCCAGGGCATACTATTCCTACACCCAAAATAATTAAATTTATCACTTATGTATGTAATCCTTGTCTATAATAAGTGAGACCTTTATTTCTGTGCCAAGGATACACTATTTATCTTCCAAAACATTGGCAAATCTAATTTTGATATACAAATACAGTACTTCTGCCCTCATAGTTTTAACCATTAATGTAGCTCTGTGTAGTTATAGTGGTCTTTAAAATTTATATAGCTATAAATTACCTCTTTCATGTGGTTCTGCTGCAGAAAACATGGCAATGTATCCATTTCCAGCTGTATTGGCGTCTGAAATCATTTGCACCAACATCTTATTGCCACTGGCAACAAGGGCACCTGGTTTGAAAGTACCACAGAACCTGCCAAGACGCTGTCCATTGGCATGGCCGTTATACACATCTACAAAGTCATATCTGCACAGATTGTCACTTTCCAAGTCGATGTACCTAAAAGAAAGAACTACCACCTTTCCTTCAGGGACCTATAGGGGGAA